CTCCCAAATCATCCCTATCCAATACTTACCCAATTTCTTCCTGAAAACCTCCAGTGAAGGAGATTCCACAACTTCCCTGGGCAGTTTATTCCACTTCCTCACTGTTCTAACAGCAAGGAAGTCCTTCTCAAGATCTAGTCTGATGTGAAGCCACTACTTTGCATTCTGCTCTCTGTAGCAAGGGAAGAACAGTTGTTTTCCCTTTTCCTTATGGTAACCTTTCAGAAATTTAAAACAGCTATCAAGTTCCCCCTTAATTGCCCTTTCTCCAAGCTACACACTCAACTCTCTGTCTTTCCTTGTACAGCTTGCCTTTTAACCCCTTGATCATTTTTGTCATTCACCTCTGGACCCTAACTTCTCCACATCTGTCTTAAAATGTGGAGCCCAGGACTGCACACAACACTCTAGATAAGGCCAAGCTGGTGCTGAATGAAGTGGCCTTATCACCTTCCCCTGTCTTGCATGTAATATTCCTATTGATCCAGCCCAAAATAGCATTTGCTTTTTTTTTTTTTTTAAAGATGCTGCTTGATAAAATACATTTTTCTTTTTCCAGGAAACACTTGTCATATTAAAGTATTATTGTTACATTCCTTCAATGGTTTTAAATGGCCACAGCTTTTGGAATCACAAATACCTGGACTCCAAATATTTGTTTTTCTTCCCTCCCTGAAATGAAGGATTCAGTTACTGATCGTTTATAAGATATTTTTTCCTTTTTTTTTTGTTTTAAAAGTCAAAGCAAAAACAGTTCCTCACAGGGTTTCAGACAGGTTCCTGTGGGATGGTTTTCAAGAAACATTCAAATTCTTCAGGCGAGTCAAAAAAAAATCTTCTTTGGCTTTTGTAAATCAGATTTAAACACACTGGAAGCCAAACATCGTAGGGGAAGCTTCTCTTTAAAAGTAGATCTTGATATCTGAACAAATCCCAGTGTCGCTTCATAATTTCACCTTTTTAAAACACAGAAAGAGAAATAATGGTAAATTTACTTTTTGTATCTATATGTCCCATGAATTATCTTTCTATATAAACATTGGCCAAAAGGAGAATAACAGTGTATCCCATTATATTTTTTATTCAGTTTATTTAGTTTACAGGAATGAAAGACTATCAGTGTATTTTCCACATGAACTATAAGTTGCAAAAGACTCAATTCACCACTGTCCTATATCTTGTGTTCCATTGTTTGCCTTCGTTTATACCTGTGTAACTTAATACAAATTTAAGGTAGTGGAGGAGCAGACCCCAAATGTCTTGGATTTTTTTCCCCCTCCTAAACAGAGTTCCTCATGCTCTGCAATCAGTTCTCAACCCTCAGTGTTTTTTACCACTGGTCATTATAGCTTGTTAATTTTCTTTTTGGAATTCTTTAGATTGAACAAATAAGAGTCACTTGATTCCTCTCTCCTTCTTGGGGGAAAAAGGTGCACTGCAAGTTTAAATTTAAAATGAAAGCGTCACTACATTAAAAATAAGCTACACTATCTTTTTTAAATGGAGACAAACATGTTTCTTTAATTTGAATGAATCTAAGGAAGCCCAATTGTTGATACTGTACTGACACTTTACTCTCTTGTACCCGTAAAATAATTTGGAGGCAGTGTGGTTTTTTTCATTTAGTTGAAAAAAAAAATCACACTTCTGCCACCACATGTGCAGGGGGCTGCCACTTTGACATTACAAATCAGAAAATGCAAGTTAAAGCATTCAACAGAAAACTTGCCATCTCTTATGCAAATTTAGTTTTGCTTAAAGAAAGTACTGTTGGGTTAATTCCCCCACAGGTCTTAAAATTCTATTTGGCTGGTTTTTGAATACTCGGAGAATGGAAGGATGAAAATCTAGTAGGTTTTACAAGCTGGGAAAGCAAACAGCCATAGTCAGCACTGACCCAGGAAATCACAGTCAAGATAAGTAGGTAGGAACAAATGCAGCAACCCCTGCTCAATGACTGAGACACTGCCAGAGACCTGGGAGATGGAAATTGGAAGCAGCTAGTAGACTCAGTCTTCTGTGTAAAAGCAATGTTTAAAACCAGAGTTCTTTCACTAATTTCCCCCAAAAAATCTGCCATGACTCAGCTCTCCACATGATACATAAGAAAGATATGCAATATCTTTCCTCCTCTCCCCACCTGGACCATTCTCCAGATGTGTACAACACTGAATAAAAATGATTCCTGTCAACAAGTAACACGTCCCATTCTGCAGCATTCTTCCAGCCCTTTACTGGCAGGATTAGATGGTGCAGCACTCACCAGGAACAATATACTTGTTTTGCAAACAGTTAGAAAGCATGTATTCTGAACAATCTGCCTATCAAAAGCTAGGGATGTTACTAAAATATGGTGCTCTTTCAGCTGGTTTGTGACAATTTGGATGAGATGTGTCGTGCAGCATAACAATGGCTTGAAAACAGATCCATGCTGTGTGACAGTTTCTTTGAGGTTTGACACTCTGATAAAACAAGATATTTAATAATTCAGCTAGTGAGCAGGCTAGAAAAAAAGCTTTCATTTTAACTTTAGCACAATGACCTGATTCTTTCACCTGTGCAGTTTGGACTGTTAATCATACATACACTGCTCATAAATCTGTTTCTTTTTCGTTGTAGGAATCCTTGGAGTCCAGATCTGTCTTCCAAGGTTTGATCTGCTGATCGCAGGAGGTCAAGCTGCACTTACATTCATTTTGTGTCCCTGAAGGAAGTCCTTCTTCTTTAATGCTTCTATTTATAAAGACGTATTAGATGTTTTCAAACTTTAAATTAGCACTTTTTAAAAGCAGATCACATTGCCCAATTTCACTGTCAACTGGAAGCTTGCTCTTTCAAGGGACCAGTTCAGAGACCACTGAAATCATATGAAGAACTGTCACTGACATTACTGATTGGCTCTTAATGATACACATCTAAACTCTAAAACTGATAAACCAATCACAATATCGAAATACTAACTCAGCATTCGATTTTTAGTAGAGGTGCAATGATATATCGGTCCATATCATATCGGCACCAATAAATGGGAAATTGACATTATTGGCAATCGGCTTTTTTTGACCGATGTGGCCGATAATGTTGCTGATAAATGCTGCGTGCATACATTCAGCCACAGCATGCACACGGCTGGCTAGCCCGGCACCTTGGACAGCGGTGTCTGGCTGGTAAGTCTGTTGGAGGAGAAGAAGCAGAGGGTGGGGGGCAGATTAAGGCCCCCGCTGTGACAGAGGAGGGAGGCTGGGGCTGGGACAGATGCTGCCCAGCTGGGGCGGGGCGTAGTACAGAACGGAGCTGTGAGTGGTTCATCCGGGGGAGCACAGGAAGGGGGGAGGGGAAGGGGTGGCTCCCACCACTCCACGCACCCCTGGGGAAGGCATGGGGGGTGTGCCCCCCCAGATCCATGCGTGGGGTGAAGGCAGGTTGCCACTGTGGGCCAGGGCCAGGGGCAGCGCTAGGCTCTTTCCGGCCAGGGGCGGGTTGAGCCCGGGCTGTGCTTGGGCTGGGCAGCAGTGGCACTGGGAGAGGAAGCTAAGTGATGGGCTACAGTCCCCCTCCCAGCGCTGCCAATGCCTGCCTCAAGAGCAGCCCTGGCCCAACCCCCGCTGCCGGGGAGAGCCCAGCGCCGAACCCAGCTCACAGCGGCAGCCTGCCTTCACCCTGCACTTAGTTCTGGAGGAGCACAGTCCCTCCATGCATCCCTGGGGGTGCAAACAATGGCAAGAGCTGCCTGCCTCCCCACGCCCCCTGGACAAGCTGCTCATGGCTCCATCCTGTGCCCTGCCTGCCCCAGCCCCCCTCCTCCCCTACCACGGGGGCCTCAATCTGTGTCCCCCCCACTCAATACATACTTTCCCACCCCTTTCCCACCAGCAGACTTACCAGCCGGATGCTACTGTCCAAGCTGCCCGGCTGCATATCGGCAATCGGATTGGTATCAGTCGATATGACTCATTAATAATTAGCTGTCGGTATTGGCCCAAAACATCTTTATCTGTGCACCCCTAATTTTTAGTAGGCTGTAACACAGGATGCTAAGAGACGACTATCAGGTGGTCATAACTATAAAATATCACAGTAAGATATTAGATTAATTAAGCTCTCAATTCACATCTTTACCAATTACCACTGCTGTACTCAAGGAGTTGTCTCCTCTATTTGATACTACAGTGAAATGAAAATATGTTAGAAATGTTTTTATTAGTCATTGCTGCAAATGCAGCATTGTGACTTCATTGCAGAATGAAGGGAAAACCATCACTCAGGAAAGCCATTACTGAAAGCATATTTTCAAAGGAATAAGGAAAGATTTTTCTACTTATTAATAATACAGGAAAAAACAAAATAAAGGTAAAAATATGTATTCCCAGTTCATAGTTGAATGGATTATAAAGGAAATTGGCATGCTAATCTAGAGAACAGGAATGAAGTGGATTCAGCAAAAGTTAAAAGAGGGTGCTGGGAGTATCATTCTGGCTATGTCCCATGAAAACAAGTTCTGCAGACAACTTGTCAGACCTTCCTCAGTAGTCCTGGCAGAGACTAAAGAAGGGAGATCCACACCCCACAATCCAGTGAGACTGACTGCCTTACTGGAGGAAAGTGCTGCAGGAGGTTCCATTTATTATTCTTCAATTTTTTTTTATTCATCCTTAAATAATACACAAAAGGCTCTTGGCTTAGTGGTTTAACAACAGTACATTTTATCCCCATGCAGGAGACTGGCTCAAGAGGGATGTCTGACTGAAGTCTTCTCTTGTCTACTGCTGAGGATTGACCGTGAGCATCATTTAACTGAAAAGGTCCGTGGTAAAAATGAAATGGATGCACAGTGAGTTGGGGAAAATACTGACCAAGGAAGAGGCATAAATACAGATTATTCCAGCTATACCAGCCAGAAGTTTGAAGTAAACAAATAGATGGACCTTCCTCACAACAGACTAAATGTAGTAGAAAACATAAGAAGTTGTCATACACTTGCCTTGCTATTTCTTTAATCTTTTTCCTCATTATTTTATCTTCAGCACCCACATTTCTTCAGTCAGAACACCTCGAAAGGGGGCTACAGTTTTCTGATAACATACACGCAAAGTTTAAACCGCCAAATAAAGCAGCAGCCTTTTATGTCTCACTTTCACCTCAACAGTAGCTGAAGACTAATGCATTTACTTTGGTTACTTAGCTAAATACCTTTACTAATGTGATAAAGTGACACCTGTATCAAATCATAATTTTCAGTTTATTCTCTGAAAGACTGTGTTCTGTCACATACATTGCACTTGCAGTGAAGCAGTGTATTAAGGACAGCCTTCATTCAAGCTACATACATTTTAAAACCATCTTTAAGTATACCCAGTAGACACTGCAACCCAATTTGCAATTATGTCTTTAAAGATATCTTTACACCTAACTTAATACTTCTAAAAATGCTGCAGTGTATAGCGTATGCTTTATACCTCTCCAGTGTCGAATCCGATTTTCTGCACTCTTCTCTGTCAAATACAAAGTCAGGTTCGTTCTGTATTTCACGGTTCCGCCCTTGAGAAGGTCTGGGTGGCAGCTGAAAACTGCAGAGAAGCAAACGCAAACATTAGCTGTTAGGTACAATACTGTGTCCAACGAGGCAAAAAGGTAGAAGCTTGTGACTGCTGCATTTAATAAGTAAAAAGTCAATTATTAGCAGGCCTGATTCTACAAAATACAGATTATGCTTCACTTCCTTGAAGTCAGTGGGAACAAAAGGGGCCCAACATCTTTGCAGTATCAGATCCTGAGAAAAGGAAGTTTTAATAGCAAATAGACAGGAGCCAGGTTGGAAAGTGTCACAGAACCAAGAACAGGCATCACATTTAAGGAGCTTGGAGAAAAAAGGAGGGGCACAAGCCAAGAGAGAAACAGTTGGGCGACCAGAGACAGTATCTTAAGGAGAGAGATCCACCAGGATAAAGGTGGAAAGAGAAGAACTAAATGAAACAGTGAAAGTGGGGATGGTTAAAAGTAAGCTTACAGAAATGTTAAGGATATATGGGAAGGGATTTGTAGCATGAGAAGATATGAATAGCACCATGGTATTTACTTGGTTACTTCTTTACCAAACTATTCTCATTTCACCATCTTCACCTGATGCTACCCAGTTTGATCTCCCTGTAAGTGCCTCCTGACCTCCAAATTCAGTAAAACTAGGCAGAAATTGAAACAGTCTAAAAAAGAAACAATGAATCAAGCTCACAACATCATTTAAAGGGCGTTTATCTTCTTCACCTAGGTGCACATTAGAGGAACAAACAGTGCATATAAGCATTGGCCACAATGATGCAAATGTACACATCACCATCAGTGTATGTAGCATTATAAAATGTGAACAGTACTAAGAAGCTGGTTTCTGTTCCAATACACAGTCTAAAACAGCGGTTCCCAATCTCGGGTTGTGACCCAAATGAAGGTTGCAGAGGCAATTGACTTATTTAGATTGAAGATATCTTCCACGCTTGCACTACATAGCCTACAGCTAAAGATACTTCACTCTCACAGTGAAACGCACAAACTATTTTACATCGTGCTACACAATGGTTCTGACAAAGTTAAGAATTTTTTTTCCTGTTAAAGTCACAGCACACTTTTAGATAAAATTGCAGCCATTAGGAATGTGTTTTATAGAAGCCCAGTCAATAAAGTACAAAAACAAACAAACAGTTGAACATTTCAGTAAGCTATGCCAATATGTTAGCTGGACTTTATACCTCTCCAGGCTGTTCTCTTGATGTCTATACGGGTTTTTGCCATCAGACATGGGGGAATCGGGATCGTTCTGTTTTCTGCGTTTCCATACTGGAGAAGAATCTGGTGAATGACTGCTGTAAATGTAAGAAACATGGATACAGCATTTATCTCTTTTGCTCGTTCCATCGGTCATAGGTGGTGCCTCAGCTAGGTTTACTTTGTAGATATTTTTATGGTTGTTTCCTACCGTTACTGTATGATACGCAGAGAATAGCTGAAGAAAACAAAGATGTTTTGGATGCACGCCAACAACTGCTTTTGAACCAAGGCATTTGCTCTCCACCAAGGAAGTAGTTCTTGGTGCATAACTGTCCATCTCACAGAATGCAGTACTGCAGCAATGGATAGGGCTTGAAACTGAAACCACACAACCCTACACGCAGTGCCTTCTAGCTCAGAGTGAAGGCATGCCAATGGGACCACATGAAGAACCTTACTACCACTTTACATGCTGTTCCAAGACTGAATGCTAGTTAGGGACGTCAGTCTTGCTCTCAAAGGTGCTACATGTTCTACCTTTAGATTCAATGGCTAGAGATACTTTAGCATTCAACTACAAAAATATACAGCTAGCCCCAACTACTGTAATTCCTTTTTTCTATAATTACAGCAATGACTACTCCTAGTATCTTGGCACAGTCAGCATTTTCCACCACAAAAGCACCGACTGCAACACGATCAAGTACAGAGTTGCCAAACAGGGCAATTATGTCCTGGCTTCCTCTCTATATCGAGTAGCTTGTTAATGAAAATTGACTTTAGCAGCCACATCATGCACTGTTCCAGTAATCCCAACAGGAAAGTAGTACTTCATACCTCTCAGGCCCATAATCTGAATGCTCGCCTTGGTTTTCATATGAATTTCTGTTCTGCTTTTCAAACTCAGAGGAATCAGGGTCATTCGTGTCTCTGCAGTGCCGTTCCTGAGAACTGCCTGGAGGGTCTGTGCTACTGAAAAATGAAAACCAGCAGTTACTGAAGTCCTGCGGTATTAACTTCATTATGAGAACACAACTGGAGTTACAGTAATAATAAGCACAAGACTTTTAATTCCCAAAAAGTGGTAATGAAAAATGTAAATTGTTTTTGTTGTGTTGTAATACAGTTGTTACATTGTTGTCTCCTTCATTTGTGACCTTAAAATCAATATTAAAAAGTTGATTTAATTGGGCAACACCTTATGCAGAAGCTCAACCTTCAAAAAAACACACAAAATGACCCTCACCCCAAGATATGCATCTAGCAGTCAACTTCAGCAACAATTAACATTCTATATTAACAGACTTGCACCAGCACTCTCATTGGGCATCACTGCACATCACCTGGACAAGGGGGAAGAGATTAATGTCATATATTTTGACAAAAGTCAAAATCGAGTCTTAAAAAATTCTTTGATCTGGTATCCCATGATCATCTCTTGGCAAAACTGGCTAACTGCGGTCTTGGCCTCACCATGATCCGCTGGCTGGGGAATTGGCTCCGTGGTAGGACCCAGAGGGTGGTGGCTGACGGAAGTCAATCATCGTGGTGTGCTATGACCAGTGGGGTCCCTCAAGGCTCTGTCCTTGGGCCTATACTATTCAACATCTTCATTAATGATGTGGACATTGGTATCAGAAGCGGACTGGCCAAGTTCGGCAACGACACCAAACTCTGGGGTAAAGTGTCCACACCCAAGGACAGGAGGGTGATCCAGGCTGACCTTGACAGGCTCATGAAATGGGCGGATGAGAACCTGATGGTGTTTAACACCGAAAAATGCAAGGTCCTCCACCTTGGGAGGAAAAACCTGCAGCATCCTTATAGGCTCGGCAGTGCTACGCTGGCTAGCACTACGGATGAAAGGGACTTGGGGGTCATGATTGACCACAAGATGAACATGAGCCTTCAATGTGATGCTGCAGCTAGTAAAGCGAGCAAAATGCTGGCTTGCATCCACAGATGCTTCTCAAGCAAATCCCAGGACGTCATTCTCCCACTGTACTCAACCTTGGTGAGGCTGCAGCTGGAGTATTGCATTCAGTTTTGGACTCCGCAAAGGATGTGGAGAAGCTTGAGAGAGTCCAGAGGAGAGCCATGTGCATGATCAAAGGTCAGGAAAACAGGCCTTATGAAGACAGGCTGAGAGCCATGGGACTCTTCAGCCTGGAAAAGCGCAGACTCAGGGGTGATCTGGTGGCCACCTATATGTTTATCAGGGGTGCTCACCAGGATTTGGGGAAATGTCTGTTCACCAGAGCACCCCAAGGGATGACAAGGTCAAACGGTCACAAACTCCTCCATGACCGTTTCAGGCTGGACATAAGGAAGAACTTTTTTACTGTCCGAGCCCCCAAGGTTTGGAATAGACTGCCACCAGAGGTGGTTCAAGCACCTACATTGAATGCCTTCAAGACACATTTGGATGCTTCTCTTGCTGGGATCCTATGACCCCAGCTGACTTCCTGCCCCTGAGGCAGGGGGCTGGACTCGATCTTCTGAGGTCCCATCCAGCCCTAATGTCTATGAATCTATGAACATATGCTCCGGGATAGGGAAGTGTTTTAATTAGAGCGGCCACAGGGGACACTGTATACACAAGACGGTGCAGCACACTGGAGCATTTTGATCAGAACGGTCCAGTAGACTTGATTAATCGAGTCTGCTCCAACGTGTTCTAATTAGACGTGTTGGAGCACGTGTAAAAGCGCCCATCATCCCCCTCAAATTCTCTAATAATATAAGGGGAGGTCTATGCAGTTTCTTCACTATGATCCAGAAACTTTTACTGTATGACTTGCACAGGAAAGAGGGGAATGCTACTATCAAGTCCAAATGCCAGTAACAGCAATAACAAAGCCTCAAATTACCTGAAACTTCCTCAAAGGAGTGCATTTCCTTTCTGCCCTTGGGGAAGAGAGATGGCTACCACAAGGGTTACCAAAAACTCCTTTCCCCACAGGATTATTTGGGGATATATCTAGGCTAAACATTAGGAAAAATCTTTAAAATAATTTTAAGGAAAGTTAATATAATGAAACAGGATACCAATGGAGAGTGTGGTAGAGCCCTACATGAACCTGGGACAGATTCCCACCTACCCCACCCCAATTTAGGTAAGGCTTAAAGAAAACCAAATCAAGCCCATTAAGAAACAGGAATAAGAGACTGCATGCTGCTTCATCCATACGCACATTGGCTGCAGATCCCAGTTTTCTTCAGTAGGGGGGTCCCAAGCATGAAGTGCTATCTTCCACAGCCTGATCTGCTGGTCCCAGGATCTGCGGCTGTACTTCTTAAATTTGTTGGGGGTCCTAGGGTGAACTCCTGGTATCCGTTGGCTCCTACACAAACAACCATGTCAACATGTCTGAATACTCAGTGTTCAATTCTATAACTGATACATCACGGACACAGACAAACATACAAAACATGGGACTATGTGGTTAAGAGTTACTAATGCATACTACAGGAAGTTATTGCAACAGGTATTGTTATACTTCCTGTGCAGACTGTGGGGATTTCAAAAAGATTATCCAGATGCTGTAGGCACCATTAGCAATTCAATAGGTGGTATGCTTCGAAAGAGTAATACTGAACTAGTGTTACTCCAAGTTGAGGTTAGAGGGGCACTGCACAACTAGGGGCAACATCGTTGTCTCTTGTACTCAAGATCCTGCCTGCCCATGATCTCTTGAGGGCCCAGCCGTTCTTCAACCACCAAGAAAAACATGCCTGCTTTTCTTGGTTCATTTTAGAGTAGATTTTCTGTGGGGTCAAGAAGGAATAAAAAGCATATTATACCTCGGCTAAAACATAGTGTATTTTATCACATACAACACACACCTATCCCCCTGAAATTCATCTGTTGGAAATTGGAGTGAGCATGATATTTGAGGAAATATGGTAACAGCAATTTCTGCAGCTTAACCCTCTGCCAGGAGGCAGTGAAAGTTAAAAGTAAAGCTGTGTATGCTGCATTCAGGGCTCCTCAGGTGTTAGATCTGATGCCCTGACTGGGGACCATGCAGGTCACGGTGGAGGTTTAAACTAGGGATCCACCGACAGAGATTTTTTGGGCTGATACCGAGGGTCGATTCCTAAACAGCCATTATGGTCAATATCGATCTGATTGCTGATATGCAGACCAGCAGCTTGGAGAGCAGCATCCAGCTGGTAAGTCTGTTGTGGGGGAATGGGCGAAGGGAGAGGGGCAGATTGAGTCCCCCACAGTGAGGACGGAAGTGTTGCTGAGGTTGGGGCTGCACAGCCAGAGTGGGGTGGGGTTGTCCGGGGGATGCTGATGGGAGGTGAGCAGCCCTCACCATTGCACGTAACCCAGGAGGGCATGGGGGGCATGTGCCCCTGGGATCTGTGCATGAGGCGAGGGTGGGCTGCCATTGTGAGCTGAGGCTGGGGGTGGCACCTGGCTCTTCCTGGCGGGGGGGTGGGGCTGAGCCAGGGCTGTGCTTGGGGCAGGCAGTGGCACTATGACTGGGGCTATGGCAAATTTTGGGGTCACTAGCCTCCCCTGTAACTCCCCTCCTAGCCGCACATCTCAAGTGCAGCCCCAGCCCAGTTACCCCTCTGGAAGAGTCCGGCACTGCCCCAGCCTGCAGCGGCAGCCTGCCCTCGCCCTATGCACAGATCCAGGGGGCACATGCCCCCCATGCCGTCCTGGGGTGCATACAGTAGCCAAGCCACCCCCCAGATGAACTGCGGCTCCATCTCACTCCCTACCCTGTCCTGCCCCAGCTTTGCAGCACATGCCCCTGCTTCAGCTCCATTCCCTCCCTCACCGTGGGGGCCTCGGTCTGCCCCCCACGATGGCCCTTTCTTCCCCAAGGTCCCTTCTCCCACAACAAGCTTACCAGCTGGATGCAGCTTTTCACGCTGACATGCTGCATGGTGGCTGTACGCATGCATGTGGCATTTATCGGCGACATTATCAGCCACATCAGCCAAAAAAAATGATTTCCGATAATGTCAATTTTCCTTATATCAGTGCCAATATGATATGGGACCGATGTATCGGTGTACCTCTAGTTTAAATTGCTCCCCAGTCTCTCTCAGCAACCCCCCTGGCCTCCAGCTCAGCTTCTCAGCTTCCCTCCAGCCAAGGGCTCACTCTAGCACCTCTCAGCTTCTGACCTGAGCCACTGCAGGCATGTGGTCGCATTTCCAGAATCAAAGGCAAACATCTATTCACTTGCTTGCCAGTTCAATTTATGCAGGTTAGACTAACCTGCAAAGCTTTAATTGATTCAGGTTCGGGTTTTTTGAATGTCTGACTTAGCCTTTGTGGCAGGTTCACATTCAAAAAGAAATGCAAGGATAAGGGCTTTATGATGGGTACCTACAGTGGAATCAATGCCTGTTTTTGCCTAGATATGCTTTCCTATTTGCTTGCTCAGATGTATAAAATCCCCATTTAAGTTGGCCATTCAAAAAAAAAGTTGCCTTTATGCAAATCTGGCAGACGCATTCATTTTACGTTACTTTGATTTAAAAACCCAGTCATGCAAGATCTGCACGCACATCAGCTGTAAGTGGACATTCAACAACAGGAACATATAACGCACATAACTGCAACTTACTTTGGGACTTCTTTAATGTATCTATCATACGCAAGTGTGTTTTTCCCAAAATTGATCTGTTTTTGTCTTCTCCTCAAAACCACTTCATCCGTTTCCCTTTCCACTGGTTTGGTAGAGTCATTTGAAACAGAGCTAGGAAAAAAATATAGTTGAAATGCAAAGCCATAGCTTTTATACTACACACTAGAGCTACAGAAGTTCTTAAAAGCATCAGGCATGATTCTCTCATTTTCACGTCTGTAAATAAAGGCAATTGACGTCACTGGGGTGAAACAAATGGAAAACTAGAATTAAGAGATGATGCAGGTTGTCTCCCCTGACGAAGTAATTATTTTTGATTTAACATGCAAGTTAGCCCATGTCTGCAGACTATAGAAGTACCATACCAGAAACTGAAGGTCAGTTCTGAAACAAGGAAACCACTGGTAGCTGATGCTGATGTGCTCACATAACATCCTCCTACGAATTTAAGTTATAGGTCTCCATAAAGCAGAATGTGGGAAAACTTGGCCTGTGTTATAAGGAGGCCAGATTAAATCATTTTATGGCTTTCTCTGAAACTATGAAGCTACAATGAGAAAAGGAAAATTCCTTATATACTGGAAGACGCTTCAAGCGAAAACCTACTGTACTTCATGGATAAGCAATTTGCTGTTTAAAAGCAACAGAATTTGGGATGATGTTGCCAGTGATTTTTGAAGTAGTTCCAAAGAGAATTTCTGACTGCCTTCAAGTTTCATTTTGAATTGAAAGTTTGAGAATTTATTTGGGCCTAAAGGTTCAACTCAATATTGAGAAATTCAAGAGAAGTTAGGAAGAGAAGAGTCAAGATCCAGGAAAATATTACTGACTTATTTCCTACCCATGTTTACAAAGCTTTTGTTAATGTATGAAAAGTGCTCAGCGATCCCAGAAGAAAGGCAGAAAAGATGCAAAGTATTGTTATTAAATGATCATATGATACCTACTTTCCATATTTCTTTTTGTTCAATGTCTTCATGGTTTTGCCTTCTTCAACTGCGTTTCCCTTGTCTGAACAACTTGAAAGGGACCTAGAACCGTCTAATCCTGGAAAGCTGAAAAATAATTAAGGTACCATAAGCATCTCTTGCCAAATTTTTCCTCCTAATTTGTCATTTAACTGACAGCACTTTAGGGTCTCTTTAATAGCCCAGTTTCGTGGGGCTGAAAAGTAAATGTGAAATTTAAAATTACTTTAAGGAACACTGCCATCAGCAGCAAAGCAAGGACATAATTAGGAGGGAAATCCTCTTTAAGTAGTATGGGATCCCACAATAAGAGCAATTTAAAGTTATTAATGTAATATTAATCATTTTTCTTTTGAGTTTCCCCAATGTTTTTCTTCTCTTAGGAAGCTGTACAATCTGACACCCAAAGTAGTTCAAACTCTATGAGTATCCTGCAACTTTGTAGGACATAAGGGGTAGAGTGAAGAGTTTCTCTCAACCAACTAATTAGCGTTTAACTTTTCAGCCATATTTTGACTATGCGCCCCTGCCCACCTTTCTAATGGTAATCCCTTGTCCACTAAATCCACCTCTGTGTGCTGTTATGTTATCCATCAATCATATCCTCTCTTGCTTTTGTTTTCCAGTACTTGATACATGGTGCTGGTCAGAACAAAGAGGTACTTGAGTTCTGTATAATGCAAAGACTGAGTGGATACATATTCCTCTTAAACTACCAGAAATTGAAGGTGGTGTCACTACCTGCACATTTGTGTCAAGATCTTCATATTACCCTCAATAATTTAAGTATTTTTTATTACTTAATAATAAAAGTATTACTATTCCTAAAGACTCAAGAATCTCTACTAGTACATACTGGATTCTTCTTAACCTTTCTTCAGTTATAATCAAGAGATGCATTTATCATTTTTCCATATTCCCTTCGATACCGTTTCTTCCATAACTTGTGCAACACAATACTCAAAACTGTATAAAATACTCTAGAAATGTGGTACTTAGAACTGGACAAAGGACATCAACAGATTAAACTTTTATGCCACTGCAAAAAGATATATATATATATATATATATATTTAAAATGGACAGATACAAGCTCCTAAATCTGGGTAACTTTGTCTAATCCAGTGGAGAAGTATGCCTAAAGGGATCAGGGATAAAACTAGCTGTATATATTATACTGGTTTAGGTTCTGCCTTTCCACGTTCTCTGTCCTCATCCAAAGTCTACCAGGAAGTTTGCTAGCCAGTGAGAACTCAATCTCTTCTAGCCTGTGTGCCATTCCATTCCCTTTGTGGCAACTGCCAAACATCAAGGATTACGTATTTATCTTCACCATTTCCCCTCCCATGCATCCAAAAATAAGCAAAATGGAGAACATGTGGAACAAAAGCCACCTCATCTCGCATTGTTCTAAGTGGTGCCCCCAAAAGGATATCAAGGAAATAAACTTTTACTTCCATATTATGGTGTCACTGAACAGTCAGCATATTAATAAAGTAAGCGACTGCCAATTTTATCTCATGGCTGTCCTCAATCACAGCAAAGGATATGACAACAACACACAAAAATGTACTGCTTCTTATAAAAATGTTCAACTACTACAGATGAAACTTCAAAGATACCAGCAAATAATGGTGTCAAATTACCACTTTACCAGGCATAAATTTCTCCCTTTCTTTGAGTAGAGTGCTTCCTGCTGTTATTACACGTATATAATAAATTAGGCAGACAGACCGAAAGCTCTCATATAACAGGTGTTATCTATATACAGGAGAAGCAAGATTTATTTTGGTAATATGTTTTGCTGGAGCAACTCCACTGTTAAAAGAGATGTTAGAAAAATGTTAGACAAGCTTGCAGGCACAAAATGCTTTTCTCTCTGGCCAGGGAAAGAAGCAGACCTGAAGAAGGGCATTTTGTGTCCAAAAGTTCATCTAACATCTCTCCCTACTATATAATTTGGTCAATAAACCATTACCAAACAAATCCTACTTCTTGCATATTCCTAGACCATCACGTCTACAATGGCACAGTATTATAAAGATGTATTGCTTGCTGGTTTTATGCTACTTATTTAAACATGATTTATTAAATGTAATAAAAGAGTCAAGTCCAAAAATTGTGTTTCTCAAGAAAAAAAAAAAAAGAGACAACTGCACTTCATTTGGGGGTGTTTCAGTAACTCAAGTAACTGAACCCCCAACACTCTTTTCACATCACAATTAGAAACGCACAAATTCAGGATGGAGTTTTACCCCATGATCACAGGGGCACAAATTTGCCTTCCTCTGCAGCAGGGCCAGGGGTGGCCCTCTACCTGGGCTCTCTTGAGCCTATCCTGGCATTTCACAGAAGCAGGGCTGTTGGCTGCCGTGGTTCCCTGCTTTACCTGTGGCAGGTTAGGGTGTTATGTATCAGGGTCGACAGTAGTCTTGTGTAGAGTTCAGATGATGGTTTGTATGGGATGGCTTGGATAGGGATGATCCTGCCTCAGGCAGGGGGCTGGAGCAGGTGACCTCTGGAAGTCCCATTCGGCCCTACTTCTCTACGATTCAACCGACATGGCGCACCTCTCTACCCTGTCGTCCAAGCGTCCACCGTGACGTTCATCCGAGGCAGAGGAACCCGAGTCATTCCCGCTCCTGCGTTTCTGTCCTTGGGCCCAGAGGGCCGAAGGTCGCGCAGCGCTAGAAAAGACGAATCTCTTTTAGGAGTCAAGTGGGATAAACTTATTGCACCATCAACTTATTGGGCTGCAACAATGGCTGCTCCCCCCAAAGCCTGGAGAGCCGGCTGGTGGGGTGCAAAATGCCCCCGCAAACGTCACCGTGTTGGGCACCAAGCTGCTTCCCTCCATCGCTCTCCCCCAAAAGAGGAGGGAAGGGAGGAAAGAGACTAAGAGACACAAAGACTTGTACAGCCCCCAGGGCCCTGCCAGCCCAGGGGGGGGTCTCAAGCCATGTCCTACCCCAGCGAGCCCCGCCACTGCTTGGGCACGGACCACCCATCCTGGCTGCTAGCTCTTCCCTCCCCTGCCACCAATATAAAGCCCTGGCCCCGGACAGACGACCACAGAAATGCTCTCCCCCCCCCCCCACCTCCCCCTCCCGCCCCCCCCCCACCTGCACGTGCCGCCCGGGGCGCTCGGCTGCTGCCCGCTGTACATGGCCCAGCAGCAGCTGGAACAGCTGGGCTCCCCTGGAATGCTGACGCGCATGCGTCACCTGAGCACCGGGAAGACTGACAGCACCGCGCGCATGCGCCACCTGCGCTCCTCCGGGAAACTGACAGAACCATGCGCATGCGCCACCTGCGCTCTGCCGGGGAAACTGACAGCTCCGCGCGCGCACCACTTGCTGTCCTCCGGGCCCAATGACGCGCATGCGCAGTATTAGCATTACTCAGGCGCCTCCGGGAGCGCGCGACCACGCATGCCCGGAAGTCCGGGTCTTCCCCCATGCCCCTGAATTGGGGTGGAGAGGTTCAACCCGGAAGTGCTTGTGGCTGGATGCATTTAAAAGCTTCTTGCCTGTCAGTGGCTCAGTGAAACCCCTGCCCCACCAAGCCACTGGCTGAAGGGCAGTGCTGCAGGCCTGTGCGCAGCCCCTGAGCCTGGGGGACGATGTGGGCAGCACTGAGCCTGCAGCCGCACTGGGTGCAAGTGGGGCACAGTGAAGCGTGACACTATCCTACCCATGTGACACCAGGCCCCTAACTCAGGTTATTCCCCTCCAAATCACCCCGTTCTGTCTCCCGCTGTGCTTCAGTTGGGAAGAAATAAAACAGGAAACCAGGAACCTGAAAATCAAACGATCTTTTATTTGCCTCTGCAAACAGTTTTCAGATGACCTACTTCAATGCCATTAAACCTCTCGAAGACCGATCCAATAAAACGGTAGTGTTTTTAAAAGTATATAAACGATTTCAGTAAAAAAAATACACTAAGTCTTTGGAAGAAAGTGTTTTATAATAGATGTGAGGCACTCCCACCAACTAAACTGATCCTCAATGGGCATTAGGCCTGAATACAGCTCAAAAATCAAACCCATGTCCAGCCTGAGAAGCGGCACTGAGGACCTCATGGGAGGCGAGTCAGGTTTAACCTGGCTTTGGGGTGCAGGCAACCCCTGCTTAGCGCTCTTGATTGGTTCCTGAAAAACCGAGCGTTAAGCGAAACCTAAAGTACCTTTCGACCCAAGATGGCAACTGCAATTGTTTTTAATGACCCAAGATGACGACTATGAGCGTTATAACAAAACTCGCTGAGCACCAAGTGAAATTAGGTATCAATTTAAAATGAGCTTTATAGCAAATTAGCGCTAAGCGAAACAGCGTTAAGCAGGGGTTGCTTGTATACACAGAGATTTAATACAGTAAAAATATTCAAATCGGAAGTGACTGCATAATGGACCTCTGCCTTTGGACCATGTATTTTGGTTTCAAGTTATACAAAGCCTCATTATTGCAATTTCATTGCAACACAGATTTAATACACGACAGAAAGACAGACCTGCTGAGAAAGGCTTTTGCAGAGCAGTATGTCTGGTTTGGCAATAAGGAACGGACAACACTCTTCGCACCAAAATATCCTGGATTGTAGATGCTACAAGTCTAGCAATGGTATAAAAGAGTGAAGCTGAAGCCTATGTTTCAGAGGTGTTGGTTGTAGCTGTGTTGGTCTAAGGACATAGGCAGACAAAAGTTTTTTGGGTAAATCTCAGATCTTTTATTAGACCAGATAAAACTGTTGGAAAAATTCTTCTTTGCAAGCTTTTTTTTTTGTATCCAAAAGCTTGCAAAGAAGCTTGCAAAGAAGAATTTTTCCAACAGTTTTAGTTGGTCTAATAAAAGATATCAGATATGCCCAGCTTCAGAGAGAGTGGGAACTGGGAATCTCTGTGTACACATAGTTATGGATGTGCGGGAACATGTGCTTCAGAAAATTTGTCCATTGTAAATCCCAGTTTCAAGGTAATTATTATTTTGAAACAAATATTTTACACCACATCACAAAATGAGCTTGGCTAGTCTTTTAAAAAATGAGTCATGAAAATAATTCCTAAATATTGGTTTTATGCTTGGAGAGATTATCAGGACATGGTGGGATGTGACTAGGATGGCCATCACAGAGGACATTCTGGTTTTTTGCTACTCTGTCCTCCACTGATACAAACCCCAATACCTTCATGTCCTCTATTTTTCTCTTCAAAGGGGCCCAGAGTTCAGACTTCTACTTCTGCATCTCCTCCAAAAATCATACCTCCTCCAACTTCTGTTGTGCAAACTTGACTGAAATAAGAGGCACATTATCCTTATCTGCAAACATTACAGCAAAGTGGGGTGCAGAGATACATATCAGAAAGCAAAATTCAGCTCAGTATAATGGTGTACTGTAGGTTAGAATACTGCTAACACAATTTCAAAAAGACTTACCTGCCTATGAATCACTGGAGAATATTTAAAATTTTTGGTTAACACTTTGTATAATTTCAGACTAAGCACAAACCTATCTGAAGCTAAGCAATACAATTTGATTCTATTAAAAAAACCGGAAATGTCACTAAATATTTTTTGTGCAAGAGACTCAAGCCCATTCTGCCAGCCTCTATGACAAATTTCTACTCCATATGATCTGCTATTGCTGAAATATAGGCCCCAGAAAAGGATTATTAACTAATGTATATCAGAAATAATAGTGAGTACTGCATAATAAAAAGTGCGCATGTAACAGTTATGATGCATGCCCAGAAAAGGATTATGATGCATATCATAACAGTTGCATATGATGCATAACAGTTAAGATGCATGCTCAGTTATGACGCATGCCCAGAAAAGGATTATTATTAATTAATGTATGGGAGAAATAATAGCGAGTATCGCATAATAAAAAGTGTGAGTGTAACAGTTATGATGCATGCTCAAGTGATTATCCTACTTAAAGGAAAGCAGTTTTGCCATTTACAAATACATAATTAAAAAAATGGTTTATGTCGTGTCTGTTTTACGACTGAAACGTCAACCTGTGTTTTCACAAGTCCTCTCCACAATGTAAACTTCAGGCACTTTTATTACCATTACTTGGTATGCCAGGCTCTAAGTATACCCCATAAAGGTTTTTAAATAAATCTCCCATTATTGCAGCTCCCCTACTGGTACCATTTTTCAAACTACACTGTTTACCAGTCCAAAGCAGTCCTATATGACACAGTGATTTAAGTGCTTCCTACTAATGACACTTTATTGACTGTAGTACCTTTCCCGTTGTAGGATGGCACCAGTTGGAGGTATTAAGAAAGCTGGTTTGGACAAGGCAGTACAGAAAGACAGGCTAATACTTAGGTCTTGTCTGTAACAGGAAAAAAACCCACTCTGTTTTTCTGCGCTGATGTCACTCCATTTGCAGCAGTAATGATGGAAGCAATGGCATAAGCAGGACACAGGCAGTGTAGCAGTATTGTCTAAAGTAGGCCTGTCTACACTCATTTCTGTTCTTGCTACCAATAGTTCAAAATCTTTACAAATTACTCTGATGGAGACCCATCCTAAGAGCTGAGCAAAATTCTCCTATTATTGTAAAACAGTGACGTGCTTATAACTAGACTTGAAAATAATAAATAAAGTGCTAATCTGAAAAAGCATTTCAGTGCTGACAGACTTGAAACATCCAGCATGGATATATGTCCTTATCTTGTCCCAAAATCCTATTCATGGTGAAGCCTGTTTCTTAGGAAAAGGCTGCAGGTTTGGAAGTAGTTGAACACTCTTTTACATTATTAAAATAATTAAGGTTGTTGCTGCTTTCCTTCCAAATATAGGTAAAAGTCGTACTTAAATTCTATTAGCTGAAGAAGGTTGATTTACCAAGTAAAACAGCTCTGGGACATAAGTGTTTAATTAGAAGATACTCTATGCAGAAACAATAGCAGTTTAGGTCAATGATCTATATATAAACATACTAATAAACCTTTCTTGCATGTTAAAAATGTCTGTAAACACGAGGGCAGAGCAGAACAGAATAAAAAAGAAAAAAGAAGCGCAGGTGTCACATGTACTACTATAGATAAGAAAACTCAGGCCCCAAAGTTCTGAAGCCCTGTTCAGATGGGGGAATAGGAGAAAAAGAAAGACAGTATTGACATATCTCTTTTAGTGAAAGCCCACAAAGGTTAACAATAGGCTTTGGAAATGAATTCAAGATAAATAAAGGTAGAAGATTTTTAGCCTATTAGCCTTAACAATAGCAATTTGCTTAGGATAAGGAAAAAGCCCTTTGCTAAAAATACTTGTGCTTAAACCCTTTAACTAGAATAGCATTTAAAATAAAGTCAGAATACCAGGATTTCATCCAAAATGAAAAGCAAATGGGTCACCACTGCTTTAAAGTGTGGTCCAAAAGAAATTAAGAATACAAAAAAAAATTCAGCAATCTAGAATGTAAACTGGTGTTTTAGGAAACAAGAACTGAGGATAACTTTAGAAGCACAGTGAAAATAAAAAGACGGTAGGCTGACATTTTCAGGCCCTTTTTGAAGGGGAAACAACAGAGTTTCTACTTCTCCAGCAGAACATGAAATCTAATAGGGCTTGTATCAAACCCTGCTGTGAAATGCATTCAGATTTCGAAAGGTAAACTATACCAAGACACTATTCATCGTATAATGCAAACATCTAAAATGCAAAATTTGGCTCTGCAGGTTGGACAAGGCACTTGGCTTGAAAGCCAGGTCTCTGGGTGCTGCTGATCTTGCCGGCTGGCAAACCATTTGCCCATGCACGTCAGACACCACATTGGGCGACAGTAGCATTGTTGGCATTCTCCTTCGTTTGGCTCTTGGCAGCTTTTTACAAGCTTGATGTTTGCATTCGTCTGCATACACCCGATGCATGGCTCCAGCTCCTACAGAAATAGAGAAGGCCAAAAAATGTAACTTTTATAGGAAATAGTAATGCTTTGCATTTCAATTGGGCTTTCTGCTTTCAAACCATCTCGCACAGCCCAGCAGATAGGACAAGGCACAAGACTGGGAGAAAGAACACCTGGGTTCTGCCCTTAGCTCTATCAATGATTTGTACAGCCCTGGGCCTGTTACTTAACACACTGTGCCTCAGTCTTCTCATCTATGAAGTGGGCATGATTATAGCTGCTCTACACTGTAAAGCAATTTAAGATCCATAAGTAGAAAGTATTGTGCAAGGACCACACATTAGTTATACTCAAATCATCCTAACACTTTCTGTGCCAATGAGCTATTTTCATTTTATAAGTGGGGAACACTGGGGCTCTGACCAGTTAGGTAACTTGCTCCAAATCACTCAAAGTTTCTGAGCGGGGGAAAAACCCTAGATTCTTCCTATTTCTGTGTCTGTGCTTTAACCTCTAAAAACAGGGGTGGGCAAAATGCAGCCTGCAAGGCCATTCTATCCAGCCCACGGGGCCCCTAAAACATTTAGAAAATTCATACTCATCTGCCCCTGGCTGCCTGTCATGTGGCCCTCAATGGCTTGCCAAAACTCAGTGAGTGGCCCTCCGCCCGAAATAATTGCCCACCCCTGGTCTAAAACCACCGTTTCTATTTTGTAATACAAATCATTGCTTACTTCATCAGATATCAAACCAAAAGCCACAAGTCCAAATAGTTTACATTAAATTTTGCACAAGGTAAAAGGTCTGCAATAAAGTGACTCTCTCTTAGCACAAGTTATTTATGCACAACTTGAACCTGCAGACTTGTTTCTGTTGGTTATGTTGGTATTGCAAATGCATAACTGCAGCATGTGCAGACACACTTAAGCTTGTTATGATCTTGCTGGCTTGGATACCAGTGATGGGAAGATGTGACAGCACACCTTGCACAAGCCTGTCCAGGCCCCTTGGTACTTAGGCAGCTGAAGCTCATGCTATGACATCATCACTGCATTGCTACCAGAGCTAGCTAGATTAGAACTAGCTTAGGTATGTCTGCATTCCCTGCCAATGCAACTGTGCCTGAAGGGGAGACATACGCACTGAAACCTGGCCTTTGATTGTCAAGGTGATTTTGAGTCCTAAGAAAGGAAGATCTAATTTAGAAATCATGCCAAATATTAAAGAATAAGGTCTAAATGCAACCTAGTTCTCCTGAAAACTTAGTTGTAATGGTGCTAGACTGGCCAAAGCTAATTGTCATGCATATCAGTTTCAATTATTAATTAGAGTTTTGACTCTAGTTTGCTGGACAGCACCTGCAAACTCCATTTTCAAGTTCCTCAGGTAGCACCTAATCAGGATATTACAATTAAAATAAAGTTCCCTATCACAACATCTCCCAGCCTTCTCTATGCTTATGAGCACCCACAGGCCTCTGGTTGAAAGAGCAGGAAAAGAAAAATATACAGCTAGATTTTTATATGTTAGTTACTGAACTGTAAGGCTGTCATTATATAAGTACTCTAATCACAAGTCTGACCATAGGAATACTGACCATGTCACAAACTATGATTATTACCATCTTAGCTTATTAAAAAGTCCCACCTGATTGCTGGGAGCCGGGTACGTCTGGTTCATTTCCACCAGCGATGTAAAGGTTTCCAGAAATAAGTCACTGAGACTTTGATGGATCACAACATTGGCTGCATTACGGATAGGAGCACGGAGTTTCTCCCGCAGTTCCCCATACTCTGTGGAATTCAGCCTGAAAAGAAAGAGTAGAACAGACTGTCACCTAATCAATCCACTCATGTTCTGCTTATTACTTTGAATATTATCAAAAGAAGATAACACAAAAAAGTTAGGTAACTTGGTGTACACTGGTTCTTGGTCCGAATGTATACACTTTGGTCATTTCTGAGGACAGAAGAGAGGGAAGTGAAAAATACTACAGTAAAAGGAAACTTTTACTTTTCTAAAAATCTAGAAAAGTCATGAAATCCCAAAGTTACATGTTTCTATTTCTGTGCCGGACAAATATGGGGCTTGTGATTTTGAGTGCCCAACCTGAGATGAATTTGAGTTGTTTTGGTCAGAAGTGCTGAGCACCACCACTGATTTCATATGAAGATGCAGGAGGACAATACCTCTAAGAACCACAGTCAAATGGTCTCAAGATGAGCTTTCAAAATCTGGGTAACAAAAGCCACTTTTGAGAATGTTGGTCTAAACAATTTGAAAAGCAGCGCCTAACAGTCCTGTTAGAGTCAAGTCATTTCTTTATTTAGCCACAGGATATTTACAGTAGCTATTGGACAGTGCGTGCTTCTCACCACTGGCCATCAGTGTTTCCATCCAGGCTTCAAAGCACCCCTTGTAACATGGATCAAAGTGTAGTTCAAGCTTCCTGCCTATTTAGTCCCTGGCATCTCTGTTGAGCTGCCAATAAAGGGTATGCAAAAAAGTAATTAAAATATTACCTAAAAATATTTTAAACCTTGTTATTAATAAATATACCAAACTTATCCAATCTCTGCCTTATTTCACATGTCTATAATATTGCTCAGCCCTCCCCCTTGTTTGTTCTCATTCTTTTATATTGTACCTAGTCTATGCGCACCACAGGACAGAGACTGGTTTACCTATATTTATTAAATCAGACACAAACAACATATCTAGCGGTAGCACAAACAAATATCACAACTGCAAACTGTTGTGCTCTTACAAAGTAAAATGATAGTAATGACTGAGGTTTTAAATAGGCTACATTGAGCAGCCATTAGATGGTACCAATTCCATATTATACAGGACTGAAGCCAGCAACACTTACTGTGGGATACCAGGGAGGGTGACGAATAGAGCAGGGGCAGGCTAAGTCTGGCCCACGGGCCACATTGGGCCTGTGGCAAACTCCATTTCTTAGTAGCCCCTGCCCGTGTCATTGTGGCTGGTTTCCATGTAGACCCCAGGAGCAGTGGCACCATGACAGCATGTGGCCAGGGTTTACCTGCCTGTCATGGCCCTGGTAGAGGCAGGCTCCATGCAGTCCACCTCCAAAACTGCAAGTAGTGTACCCAGCCACAAGCTATCTGGGGCTATGCATGGGCTAACTGGCAATGTCATTCTGGGGCTATGCAAACGCAGGTACATTGCTCCCAGTTATGGGGCAGCCTACACAAAGCGACAAGGTACCTCTGAGGGCACTGCTTTGGGCATGATACATTTGTGTAGGGCTAAAAAGAGACACTGGATTTCTCCTAGGACACATCCTTTTACCCTGGGATCCTATGGGGAATAAGCTCACTGTCCTCACATTAAGTATCTGTGAAGTATCCAAATTAACACTTTACTCTGGGACAACATCAGCTAATCATTTGAGCTGTACGTACAGGACTGCCCTGAAATTATCCCAAGCTTTGACTTGTTTCAAAACAACCCGCCCTGGATTAAATTCAACCTCCATTTCTTTCATTAAGCTGTCAGAGGTGTGGCCCAGGTCAGGTCCAAGTGGGATACTCAGTCATGAAATACTAGTTTAGCTATGGCCTCTGCTTTTAAGCACTGCTTCATTTAGCTCTGCTCAGAGCAGGACAACGTAACACCGCTGGTGTCTTTCCTACCAATTACTTGCACAGCTTCTACCACTGGTGAAACTGAAACTGTAAAAAGGTTTGGCTTAAATACCCTAGTGCAGACACAACCAGAGAGGGAAAGGTCTATGTGCTACTGCTAAGTCCCTATGCTATCACATTCTAGCCATGATTTTCTGTTGTAAACTTTCTCGTCCCCTATTTTGAGCCACCATAGTCCTACGGCACCAGTTGTATTCAGAATAAATCACAGCAATCAACACACTCAGCTGCAATTTTTTTTTTAGCTATTGACAGCACACAAGAAAAACCAGGACATGCAAAGTAATTATGGTGTCTAACACAAAAGGCCTACAATGGGAAAGTTGCATCAGAAACCTGTTAAAATTGTGGTTTTGTCACTGCAGCCAGCTGAGACGCAATTAAATGTTTGGTCCAGCCACAACCAGAATGGCTAGAAAACAGTCTTTCAGGAATTATTTGAAAGAAATCTTCCAATGGAAAGGCTAACCTGATTTTAAAGGGTAAGGTGGAAAATGCTTGTCTGGAGTAGTAATAACCTGCTGGTCAGCCTTCTTGAGATAACTTAAATACTGATCATATGCATCTGGAAACACTCCCATCATCTTTAACTACAGCTTCTGTAGCCTGAGAATCATGTTAATAAGCAAAATTACTAGACTTGAGTAAAACTATCCTATATGAGCAAAGTAAATATTACCGAGTTAAAGATTTTTCAGCTGTAGCCTCACAGGCTGTGGATGGAAAGGAAAGAAGCTGCAGATAACAGTGCAGGAGAGGGTAACTAGGAGCAACAGGAATTAAAGAAGTTAGTGGATGATGCACATTTTGTGAAGAAAGGGCTACTACATTTCAAATGTAAGCTGTGCTCCTCAGAGACAATGAGCCTCAAGGAGGTTTTGAATTTTTTCTGCATTAATAATTTGCATTACAATAGCTCCAACAGGCACCAGCCAGACTGGGCCCCACTGTGCTAAGTCTGCACACACACACACACAGTAAGACAGTCTCTGTCCTCACTGTGGATAGACAAGATTGACAAGGCGTGAGCAGGAAAGAGAGGCACAGGGGGAGGGAAATACCTGGTCCAACCCTGCACAACAGGCAGAGCTAGGATCAGAATCTAGGCCCTCCCATGGCCTATTCACTGCCTGCTAGTGCTGTGCTGAGTTAATGCTATTGTGGCAAATTTGCTCCCAGCTTGTGTGAAAACACTGTGCAGTATTCTCTAAGTGTTCAGGGGGAGAATCAACAGCAGCTGGGAGAAGGCTGAGGAGGTCTGGGAGGGAAGACATAGCTGTTGAGGGTAAGATAAGGACAGGAAACAAGTGGTGGGCAGAGCAGCAGCTTGGAGCATCACAGTGGCTGAAGCAGCAAGATAACTGGAGGAGCAGGGGAAAGCAAAGCTGTGGCTAGAGCAGCAGCTTTCAAACTTCCTAAAGTCCAGAACCCTTACATATCACTTCTGCTGAGGAACCGCTACCCCTAGCTCCATGTGAGCTGATGCAGAGCCAGGCAACCCAGTCCGGCAGTAGCAGCAAAGTGCTTCCCAGCCCACTCCACCATTACCCGGATCTAAGTACAGATGTCTAAAAAGCCAGAGGTGGAATCAATCCAATCTACGCAGGTTTCTCTAAGCGGTGTACATTGGACCATTAATGAACAGAACTCATGTTCGCTCTTTGGTTGAGGAAGGCAGGCAGATGCCTGCACTGGCAAGGTCAGAAGGCGCGGGGCAATGCCATACCCCTCCCAACCTACCAGACGTTGCCCAGGACAGCTGAGCCCAGCTGAATGGGGACCATCCCTGATAGCTGCCAAGAACATGCCCCCAACCCCCTGCTGTCTTCTGCAGGGACGGGGGGGAACCGGCACAGAATTTCTCCCCTGCTCCATGGCAGCATGGGGCGTGGTGGGGGGGGAAATGGAGCTCTCACCCTGGCCAGAGGAGCCCAGGGGGATGGGACGGAAGGAAAGCCCCTGTGGCATGGGACTCTCCCTAGCTGGGCAGACCCTAGCTCAGGGAGGATCAGGGCCAGGTGGGGGAAGCCCATGCAGCATGGCCCCCTGCTCTCAGCTGGGCAGACCCCAGCTGGGAGGCGAAGATCAAGACCAGGGCAGGGGTCAGATGCAGCAATTTGCTGGGGGTTGGACTGTCCAGCTCAAGGGGCAAACCCTTGTCACATGGGGATCTCCCCAGCTGTGCAGACCCCAGCTTGAGGGGAGATGGCTCTGTTCTCCTGCCTCCCCCCTACTGCCCAACTTAGTTGACAGATGCAGGCAGGCAGCTGGCTGGGGCACAGAGGTTTTGCTGCCTCAGCTCTGAGACAGCCTGGGGATGGCCAGGGAAAAGGAGCACTGGAGGAGGCTAGCCCACCTGCCCTGCGAGGGGGGAGTTAGCAAAGTGGGGGCCCACAAAGCATTCTGGGATACCAGGGGACTGCAACCTAACTTAAGTCAGAAGGGAATCTGGAAGGGAATTTCGATAGACCAGTCTAACATAAACTGATTACATCTGAAACTACATGTATCCAGGTCAACCTTAAACCACATTCTGCCATTTTTAAACCGGTCTGTGTGCACTGAATTTCAGCTCTGTTACAGGTGTAGACCTGTTTCTGATCATGTATACTGGTCTGTGTGTAATTTCTGTACTAGCCCCAATCTCTTTGCAGAACCCATAATGATCTGTCATGGAAACCCTGGGTTCTGTGAAATGGTTTGAAAACCACTGGACTAGAGTTACTGGTCAGTTGTGAGACAGCAGGAGATGAAGTTGTCTTCAGGGGCATGAGTCTAAAGAGCAAGTTTTAGAAAACCAGTCAGCTGCATGAGATGGGTATGTTGCAACCCCTCGGTTTGGAGAATAGGTTGTACATTACAGTTGTACATGACAGTTAAAGGGTCCGGTTGCTACGTGCCAAGAGAGGAAGGAACTCTCTTCAGTGTAAATGGTAGAAGTCTGCAGGTTTAAAGCAAAAGCCACAGAATCTAAAACCTGCCATTGAACACAGGTGAAGCGTGTGGCCTTGTCTACACGTGGGAATTTTTATAAGAAAAACTTTTCACTATTGCTAATTCCAGTGCAGTTCAGCCTAGAGACATGCACCCATACTGTACACAGAGGGAGGGGGAATTTGCATCCCATTGCAACCTGCAGAGATGTAATTCTATATAAAGAGATGTTATATTTCTCCATATTTTGACTACATAGTCTCTGGAAAACTCTTGCTGCTGCTATTCAATTGACACTGTCGCTCTTTACAGAGCATGATGTGTGCATCAATGAGTTCTTTGATGGCTGCTGGGTCCAATGCATCCTGCTCACAGGTAGGGCACACCCATGCACTAACAATGCTCTGAATCTGAGCAGCAGATTCTTTCCTCCTCTGATGCCAGTTATCACACAACTTGATCCAGTCTGCCTCGCAGCACCTCACTCCAGCTGCAAGCTGACTCCGCCAACCCGGGCGGCATTCTGCACTCCTTTCCCAATCATCCACAGAGATGCCAAAGGATGCCAAGTCACCTTGGCAAGCATCCAGTAGTGAGCACTGTGGTATGGGTGCTATTAGTCAGTTACAAAAGAAAAGCCACTTCTTGGGAGAAAAAAAGTTATCAAGGAAAGTGCTTTATGTCTCACCATGGTCATAATTTTATTGCCACCTCAACAAAACACCACTGAAATAATTACATAGAATCAGCCTGTCATCATTTTCAAATCCCTATATATTTCTGCTTCAATACTTATACTCCTTTGTCAAGCTTTGCCTCACCCACCATCTCCTCCTGCTCCTTGCCAAAGCTTCTACGCTCCATCCACCCCATCACCTTCTCACACAAATCGTCTCCAGACCACTTTCCATGCTTGCTATGGCCTCCTTAAACTCTGCTGCAAGGCCCCTGACTGGTTCACTTTTAAGCTCTGTTATGCTGCCTACAAGTTAATTTGTATATAAATTGTCTATTGATGTTCTCCTAACTCCTGTCTACTTGTCTATCCTAAGACTGTTGGCTCCTTGCTGCGGAAGGCATCCTTTATCACTGTTTGGGAACTCTTAGCGAGCATTACTGTAAATATTGAAACTGACGGACCAATTGCAGATCAAAGCCCCTACAGTCAGGGAGGGAATGGGGCTGGGGCTGACCAGCCGAGGTGGGGATAGGCACGGGACAGAGCTGTAAGCAGCTCATCCGGGGGGGGGGGGGAACGGCCCCCCCGCGGTTGCGCT